TTGCTATAGTGAAAGGTTTAATGGCAAGCTCAATGACAAATGGGACAAATACGTGATTGGACAATTTGCAAAAAAAAAAAAAAAATAATAATAATAATAATATAAAAAAAAATAAAAAAAATAAAAAAAAATCAACAAAACACATAATCAATGTCTGTCACACCACCTTATCACCCCCATCCCTGTCATTGTCCCTGTCCAAGGAGCATTATCATAGACTAGTTAGTCAATTTTTTGCTATTCTCTTGTCTTGGTGTACTTTCTTCTTTTAATGAATTGACATCTGAAGATCATTGTTCATGCAAGTATAACAGTTTTATTGTTCGGATAGAAAGAACATATTATTAACTTTTCGAAAAAAATTCTAATGAACAATTTCAACAAAAACCCTTTGGATTTTATTCTTTATGTCCACGATTACATTCAAAATCATTAGATAGGAATCCAGCGTTAGTATAAGGAAAGTTTCTCAAACTCAAGAATTCCCCATTGACGATTAGTTCGATTTGAATGAGAGAAGTGAACTTAAGTGAGCGAATACTAATTATGCATTGAAACAATTTCCACGTTGGCACTTATTAATGTGATTGAAGCAATATACTGTAATAAATTGAAGTAAAATAGTATGTGATTACAATTTATGTGAACAATTTGAAGAATTGTGAATGGAGATCTTTGGAAGCTAATCGAAAATTAGGGTTTCAAAGATTTGATCATCGATGAATCTCTAGCTATTTCGAGGAGCGAATATATGTTTTCATTGAATTTTCTTTTCCAGTGGTAAAACAGAGGAAGATTATATTGGGTCCCTAATTTTTATCAGTTTCTGCTAATACATCCTTGAATCACATAATAAAATTAAAAATAGTTGACAGATAATTGAACAGTACAATTCAATAAATTGAGTACACGAGACACGAGTCTGGATCTCCCAAATAAATTTCAAAAGTGAGTGCTATAATTCAATTTTCTTAAATAAAATTGGTGTGAGACCTAATTTTTACGTCAATCAATCACATTAACTAATGAATAATGATATTTATAGTCGCTCATTACTGCATTCGTCCTATACGACATACATGTGACGATAATCATTTTTTGTATAAGGTAATAAAAAATTACCACATTAATGTGTCAAATTATTAATTTGCATATATATGCCACATAGGACGATTGTGACAGTGAGCGACTGAAATAGCATTGCTCTTAACTAATTGACCCTATAATTTAAGCCCTTATTTGAGCTTCATTCTTTGGAAAAAAATACACTTTTAAACAGTATTGTGACATCATTTCAACCACACGTTCTTCAATAAAATAATATTACACATAAATCCAAAACTTTTCCTTATATTTTAACTACACATTTCTCATCAATAAAATATTCAAAAATTCATTCTTATGAAAAAAAATGGGGCTCAAGCAAAGGTTAGGAATAATGTTATTCACAGTCACTCACTACGACAGTCACCTTATTTGGCAGACATGTGGCGTTTAGTGATTTATTGCATAAGATAATAAAAAACTATTACATTAATATATGTATTTTGACATCATTTCAACCAAATATTTTTAAAAAAAAAATTATACGCAAATCAAAATATTTCTTTATTTTTTAACTACGTATTTTTCATCAATATACTAGTCAAAAATTCGTTCTTATGAAAAGAATGGAGTTTAAACAAGGACTAAAAATAACGTTATTTTTAGTCGCTTATTACGACAGTCGTCCTGTGTCATATATCCATGACAAATGATTATTTGATACACGAGTCAATAAAAAAATATCACATTAATACATTAAATAACCATCCGTCATATATATGTTATGTAGGATGACTATCGTAGTAAACGACTATGAATAGTAATACTCATGATTTAATTAGATTAAAGTTGTGTTTAATGGAAATTAAAATAAGATTTTTAATAAATTTGGATAAAAGTTCATGAAATGTGCTGTTAAAAAGTTGTGAGCCCCATGAAATATATAGTTAAAATTAATTGTTGATTTTAACTTAAATTAAAATCTAAATTTTAATCTCCACCATATGGGGGGTTAATAAGCTGGTAAATGTCGTATATTTGTCACTTAATTAAATTCCTTTAATTTAATATGTTAATTTTTACCATTTGTGTGTGACTAATTAGGATTCGATGAATACGTATTATGACTCCGATTAAATCGGAATAAGATAAATTAACATGGGATTCTACAAAATGAGAATATGCCTGCGGGATTTCAGGAATCAGGAACCTACAGGCTACAGGTACAGGGATGGGAAACCATAAACTGATATTACTGGCAATCAGCTTTAGGCCCGACATCGGATACTAAGGGTTTTTTTTAATTGCGAAAATGAAATTTGGGTGGAAAGAAAATGAATTTTAGAGAATTGAATTACTTAGAAATTATTTTCTGGAAATTGTAAATTATTTATTTGATTGGTATAATTTTCCACGTGAAAAATGTTGAAGTAAAAGTATTTTTTGGTATTCGTTTGGCTTTATTTTACATGAAAATTGTCAATTTAAGGGATATCCACTTCTACCATTGTTCCTATAATTTGTTTCCATTGTCAACAAAAAAAAAAGATAAAAAAATCATCTATATTTTGGTGTTCGTTTGACTTTATTTTACATGAAAATTGTCAATTTCAGGGATATCCTCTTTTACAATTGTTTCTAGAATTTGTTTTCATTGCCAACAATTAAAAAAAAAACAAAAAGAAAAAAACGGGGTGGAAAACCAAAAACCACCTACCCGTAGGAAAATAAAAGGTAAAAAATCACGCTTTAAGGTGTTGTACCTAGAAATTCATGAAAAATAAATTCCTTGGCAAATTTTGCCAATCAAACATGCCAAAAGTCGAAATTGGAATTCGAATTCCAAGTTCCATGGAAAATTTCGTGCAATCAAACGGGGCCTAAGTTCCTATTTGATTTAGCTAAAAAAATTAAATCAAAGTCAATAATTGATTTTAACTATATATTTTATCAATTTCATAATTTTTATCGATTTTTTAACTACATGTTTCCTTAATATTTATCAAAATCTGATTTTTAACGAAATCAATCCAAACTAAGTGTGTATTTTGCGAAAAGAGAGAGTTAGAAAAAGCGGTGTTGGTGGGATTATTATGGGTTGAAATTCGAGTTAAAAGATTTTTCATTTGCCACTTTAACGATCATAATTAACTTATTTTTACTCTAATAAAACCACATGGCTGCCAAGTGCCACCCCCTTCTTTACACACAAATGATTTTTTTTTTTTTTTCATATTGCCAAAATTCTCTCAAATTCTAGTTCATGAAATATTAGAAAAGAAATTGTTTTATAATAAGAATTAATTTTTTTTAAGTTCAAGCAAATGCTTGGAGTTTTGCTTCATATTTCAATATTCAACAAGTCAAGCATTGAACAAAAAGTTATGGCAAGACATTAAATTCAACTTCAATTGTTGCTCTCCTATTTTAACGTTAGACTATGAAATAATATGAGTGAGCGAACTTAAAATTTGAGATCGACTGATTGAAATGACTTCGGAGTGTTTACATAGTGTTACGATTTTGAACATTGATCTAAGTTGACCATTGAGATGATTGTTTTGATAAGACAAAATATTTCAAGTTCATATGTTATATTATTTTTATTGCAATATCATATTAAATGAGCTTCTTTATTTTATTATTTTCTTTTTGGGAGGTTTGAACTATATTCAAACCAAACAATTTTAAACGATTTCGGAAATTTTAAACCAAATCAAATTATTTCATTTTTCATGCCAAACTAAATCAGTTTTTGCAGTTTATTTGATTTCAAACCACGGTTTTGGTGACATAAAAATAACATATTTCAAATAAGTGAAAAAATAAATACATTTTGCTTGAAATTTCACTATAACACCTAAATTGAACCTTTTAAACATAAATATTACAATACAATCTTAAACCAATAAATTAATACAATGTTCAACCATAAAATTTAAACTAGCAGTTCATTTTAAGGTAAGAAAAATATTAGATAAATGAATTAATATTTTATAAAGAGTTGATAGAAGCCCAGTAAATTTTTTTAAGTATAAAATGATCTATTAAACAATATATCTTGGGGAAAATCAGTAATTTTTTTTTTTTTAATGGATGAACTGTTTGATTTAGTTTCAAGCGGATTTTAACTATTGAAATTTAAATCGAACCATTTTCAAATGTTTAGATCAATTTAAAACGATCGAAACTTAAACTAAGTGAATTCTAATTAATTGCTCCAAAGCTATGAGTTCATTTTGATTTGGCGAGTTGACTTGTTCATCCCTAGGTAAAACTATCTTATCAAATATTAACTTGTTCAACTGATATATACTAGAAAAATTAAATAAATTTACTTAAAACAATATATGACAACAATCCTGATTTTACGAGACCTTGAGTACCCTAATTTCTGAGTTTTTCCTCCCTGTCGGGCATTCAGCCTTCGGGCAAAGGGCTTGGGGGTGTTCTTCTTCTTTGTCAATCAATAGCATCAGTAAAGTACTTTTTTCGATTGTACTTCTCTTAGGAAGAGTAGTCTTCGAAACTATGAATCTTTAAGCTACAATTTTTCCAATTTTGACTTGGTTATTGAACAAAATGGATCTTTCATCATGATGGAAACCTTAAATTCGAAACTCGCATTATCAATTGCATGTTTTAGTTATGAATCGAAGATAAAAGGAAAGTTACAATTTTGAATTCGCTAATAATCTTGTTTTTAACGTCGAAATGGTATTTATCCATGGATAACAAGTTCAGTAACAATACGATTCAATCATTTTGTAGAAGCAAAAGGAGCCGCTATAATGCCACAAGTTTACAACTTATTTTAATCTCTCTTTTCAGAATGTAATCTTTCCGCTCGCCTAACTCCACGGCACTAAAGACTACTTCCCTCATTTTCAATTCACCAAATTGCTGCCAAAATTTGCCGAAACTACCAATCTAACGTGCAGATAAGAAAACACGAAGAAGTAAAAACATGACTTTGCACTTTAGTCCCTAGCAATTTGTGTATGAAATTGATATCCAAAAATTGGGATTTTCTATACAAATGAATCCAAACACACATCACCTGACCTTTCGCCTATGTTTGCAAAACAAGCTGACCAATACCTTTGCTAAGAAACTTCCAACTGATGGCATGTCCACCATGTAATTGAAGAATCTAAACTAACCAAGAAACTAATACTCTTTTTTGTTCAGAAAAAGTGGTTTGTTTCCATCTTTTATCTCCCGCTTCAGCACTCAACTCCCATGTGTAACTTCTTACCTTCGGATAGCATATATGATATATATTCGGAACAGAATGTTTATCTGTATATTTTTTATGATATCTTTCGTGTTTCTAAACATTTTTTCAAATTTTTTTCCTTTTGATCTGAAATTCAAAGTTAAAATATAAATGTGTCTCGAAAAACAAAATATAAAAACTACAGGTAATGCTGTAACTGAAACTGGAACCAAACCTTCCTGTGCATTCACCACCTCAGACCCTCTAATCCCAAAGTTGAGACACCAACTGCAGCATCTGACACTATCCGCCAATAACAGGACTGAAAACCATTAACTGCATTAAAAAAAAATACTAAGTTTTTGTTGTAACAAACCATTATATATTTATTAATAACAAATTTAGCTCATAACAGACCTGATCACAAACAGGGCATGTATCACTTCTTTCCATCCATTCAAGAATACAAGCAAGGTGAAAATGATGATCACATTTGGTAATGATTTTTGGGTTTTCAGAGTCATATTCTGCGGTGAGATGCAAAAAATTAGTTTCCAATTTTCCATGTCCAAGTACATCAGAGAGAAATAAATAAGCACTTGATGTTTTTTATCTCACCTTCAAGACAAGTGGGACAAACATCTTCCTCATCCTGTAACGGGGAAACAGCTACTTCGCTGGACTTTTTGAGTATGTTGGACTTTTCATCCTCAACATCTTTTGTTATATCCAACTCCCGAAAGATAGAAGAAAATGAAACAGTGATGCTAACTGAGGAATGCAGTGCTAGAATCCAGAGAAAGCTGCTTCCAAAACTAAAGGATCCAGGGAGTTTTACTGTACCGTGCACTATTGGGAATTGTCATTTTGATAAAGCTTTGTGTGATTTAGGTACAAGTATTAATTTAATTCCTCTCTCTGTTTTCAGGAAACTCGGCTTGGGAGAAGCTAAAGCCACCACAGTCACATTACAGTTAGCAGATCGATCTCTTATACATCCAAGAGGGATCATTGAAGACGTGTTGGTAAAAGTGGAGAAGTTCATATTTCCAGCCGATTTTCTCATCTTAGACATGGAGGAAGATAAGGATGTTCCACTCATATTGGAGTGACCTTTCTTAGCTACTGGAAGAGTGATTGTCGATATTCAGAAAGGGCAACTTATATTGAGGCTTGGCGAAGAGCAAATCTCTTTCAACGTGTTGAAGGCAATGAGATTTCCTACTGAGTCAGACAGCTGTTTCTAGATCGATGTAATTGACAGAATAATTCAAGATACATTTCGACTACATCATCATTTCGATGCATACGAGGCGTGCATTGCACATTTTCAATCCACTCAAACTGATTCAAGTGAGATTGAAACATGTACACGATTTTTGGAAACTAATCCACCATACATGCACAGAGGTTAGTTCAAAGAGTTGGGAACTAGGACTACAAAGTCAGTGCCATCTATTCAGCAACCTCCCAAATTGGAACTTAAGCAATTGCCACCACACTTTCGATATGCTTACATGGAGAAATTTTCTACACTTCCGATTATTATTTCAAATACTACCAATGAAGTGGAGAAAGAGAAACTACTTCGGGTGCTAAGGAAGAATAAAACAGCCATTGGATGGTCTATTATAGATATCAAGGGGATTAGCCCGTTGCTGTGCATGCACAAAATACTCATTGAGGAAAAATTCAAACCAAGCATTGATGGTCAGCAGAGATTGAATCCACACATGAAGGAGGTGGTTAGGGCAAAGGTATTGAAGTTGCTCGACGCAGACATCATCTATCCAATATCAGTTAGTGCATGGATCAGTGCAGTACAGGTTGTTCCCAAGAAAGGGGGTATCACAGTGATAGAAAACGAGAAAAATGAGTTGATTCCTACACGGGGTAGTACAGGTTGTTTACATCGATTATCGCAAACTAAACACCGCTACTCGAAAGGATCACTTTCCACTACCATTCATTGATCAGATGCTGAAGAGACTAGCAGGGCACTCGTCTTACTGTTTTCTAGATGGTTACTCCGAGTATAATCAGATTCCAGTAGCACCTGATGATCAGGAGAATGCAACTTTCACCTGCCCCTATGATACCTTTGCATACCGTAGGATGCCGTTTGGTTTATGCAATGCACCTGCAACTTTTCAACGCTGCATGATGGCTATCTTCTCAGATATGATTGAGAAATTTATCGAGGTATTTGATAAGTATGTTTTTACACACTGATTTAGTTCACAAACATGACTTAAACATGGATAAAATGATTGAATTGTGACTTAATCTAGTTAAATTCATGCATTGTAGGTAATTCAAGGGAAATTGTGGAATTCAGGAGAAAAGAGCCGAAGAAGGACCAAAACGAAACAAATTGATAGTTCGAGGACCAAGGGTGCAAATATTGAGAAGTTGAGCTAAATGCAAAACGAGAGTAAAAACATGCCGAGTATGAGCTCAAGGACAAAGCAAAACAAGTGGAGGAAGAAAGAATCGAAGAGAGACTGAAATGAAGACATTTAAAAGTTGGAGGACTAAAGCGCAAATACTCAAAAGATGAGCCGAATGAATGGCAAGAGATTTGATGGTGTCAATCATCAATTGGAGGATAACATTTGTTGAAAAGATGAAAAAATCGAAGAAAGAAGTCAAGAGAAGCAACAAGGAAAGTTCAGGGACCAAAATGCAAAGACTTCATAGTTGGTTAGTCTATGCGACCACATAGTGTAACCATCTATGCGGTCGCATAGAAGGTTGTGGAAAATTTTGGGGGAAAATTTATTGGTCTATGCGACCGCATAGAAACTTTCTATGCGGTCGCATAGTGATACTTCGGGGGCCTCAGTTGCAGTTTTTTGTTTTCGTTGAAACTCTTTTCCTACTTGATTTTGACGTGATATAAATACCTAAAAATCATCAAATTGAAGGAAGGAATGACCAGGGAGAAGAAATACACTCAATTTGAAGGCAAGAAACACAATCTTGTGCTTGATTTCACAAGGATTTAAGAAGGAATTGAAGATTACATACAAAATTGAAGGATTATCATTAGGGTGTATTCTTTATATCTTTTAATTTCGTTTTAATTCTTGATTCTATAATTATGATCATAGGCTAGGGTTTTTATTCATTAGGAAATCGATGAACCTTTGATTATTTAATTTCCTTTATTTCATAAATTCGATATAAAGTTTCAGTTGGATAATTGTTTGATTTATATGATTTGATTGCTTCCATAATTATTGGTCATATGTTATGTGAGTTTAGATGATTTATTCTTTGCATTCGAAAGAAGGGGAATATATTTGATATAATATAAATTAACATAGGGTTTGATAGGGGATAGAAATATACCCCTATGCTTTATGCAATTCATAAGGTGTTCATAAAAATTCATGCATTCTTGTATATTTGCATCATCCATAGAAATATAGGCTGGTGGTGTGCAAGAGTAGATTCAGTATATATCGAGAGAGTATATTGGATAGGTTTAGGAGCATTGAATTGGCATTTTTCCATCGATTCGTTGAATTTGTGAAATTAGGGTTTTTAATAGTCAATTGGGGATTCAAGATCCTAATGATTGCATTTCAATTTATTTCTATACATTAACTTCCAAAAATTGCGTATTTACATTTTAATTGAGTTCTTGAGTCATTCAATTAGTGAAATTTCGAAATTAGGGTTTTTTTTTTAAATTAGGGTTTCAAATTGGGGATTTCTACCACAATTAGGGGTTTTCACATTTAAACCAAATTTTCATTCAATTAGATTCGGT